ACTAGACCATAAATCGACTGTCGGAAACCCCTAATATATAGCTGAGTGAACGTATTGTACATTGAACATCATATCGCATTTTGCAGGTAATAATGCGATTTACTTCGCCCTATTCTTGCTCGTAAACACGTATGGTATTGAATATATACTAAACCCATGCGCACGTGTAGTCGTTTTAGAGTGCGATGTCTGACCGAGCACGTGACTAGCACATGCAATGATTTAGTTCTTTTGGTGAACATGTTATCAGCTGTTTTATTAATTCATAGGCAGTATCTGTGAATCCTAATAACATATCATTGTTTGGTTGCATGTCTTTCAGTCCAGCTGTTGATCATATTCTATAATTATGTTGATCAATAAATACTGGTGACACGCTGACTAAATTAACCGGATAATTTCAAATCATTTCAATATGATAGAGATTACGTCAGTCTAGTATTTTATTCAATTTCATTTACTACTTCCTTCCTCAACTGCCGGCTGCTTTGTTCTGTGACACAGTGACACCTGTACAATACATGCGTCATTTTGATAACATAGTATTAAACTACTTCTCAGCTCAAAAAGACGATTTAACTTTTGTTCTAAAAATTCTGACTTTGATTTCTCGTTACATCTATTTTCAGTTCCAGATACAGTTGTAGTAATGCTGTTTTTGTCTTACTGACTACACTTTCACATAAATATCAGATCTTCATATATGGATGTCTTGTTTTGTCCGTTATGGTTAGCTGACCTCCAGGTTATCATGTTCATTAGAAATATCCTTTTTGGACTTGTCCTTGGGTTTTCTCAAAAATCTATCGAAAGAATGAATTATGTTAAGCCCTAAATGATATGTTACTGAGAAATCATATTGTTGAAAGTCCATTGCAGCATAATAAAACAACTTTAAATGCCAGCAGAGGAAAAATCAATGAAGAATTTAATAATTAAAGGATGACCATTAGAGTTCAAAATACCATGAGCACTTCTAGCGGAATACATCCTAACAAAATAACGCTAGGACAAACAAGAAACAAACAATGATGGTTTGATGGATGTTCACATCTTTTGCATATAAAGTTAAGATAGCGTTAAAGTTCTGAAATTTTTGTCTGGATTGAGAGGAGGGACCAATGGATGGTCAATGTGCGATCTGTTGGTGATAAATGACTGTGTATCTTCAATTAGCTTGTGTCCCATAAAGATAACTGTGTCAGCATCAATGCCGATAGCTTAAAAAACTCTATTTTAAAAGCATAACCACATCTCGCCTGTACCGGGGTAAATTTAGAGTCTGATGGACTCGCCTGTAATAGATTGCTACGTCAGCAACACTTTCCCAGGTGAATAGTAATAACCACATTAATGAAAGTCCGGTTTCTTTGGAGTTTACATCAGCTTCTTTGAGTGCCCCGGAAACGTTTGGGAATCAGAAAGTAAACTTTTGTGCCTATCAAAAAAGTTATGTTTATTTAGGCTTCCTAAAGGTATATCCCATTCTGTTTTATAAAGAAACAGATAAATAGAGTCAAGATCAATTTTAAAATGTTACAGAAAATTATTATTTGAAGTTGCTTACCACAACAGAATTTCGTAAAATTTCCTCTAGCCTTGAGAATCATCCAAACTATACATTACATATGATGATCCATAACCTTTTTAGATAGATTACCATGGACGTGTTAACCACAAGGTGCATTTGATTCTGAAGTGTCTAACAAATATAAAAAAACACTAGTTTCGGTCTGCTTATTTTGGAAATGTAACTTAAACTGTGCTTTCCCTGATAATGCAAGAATCCCGAAAGAAAAACTTGCCGTCATGATTCCTAAATAGATATGTCGTCTCCCCAAACAGAGACTTGATGCACCAAACACATATGGAGAACAAACCTTGATATACTCTGACCGTAAGTTCTACATGCCATCAAAAAATATGTCCAACCACAAGGCGCAAGCGATAAATGGTATATTCATGTCAAGCTGGTCAGTGAAATATATTAACCTGTAGTAATTCTAAAGGTTCAAGTCTCAACCGAAATCAACAAGCCATAAGGCTCGTGTCACTGAGGTGTCAAAGAAAAGAGGCATCAATAAACTAAGTGCTGTGAGGAATTTTTATAGTACATTAAGCCGCACAAGTCAAATATTTGGTCAGACAGAAGACAATCCGAATCCAATATAAAGCCTGAGAAATACCGATTACAATTAAAGTCCTTACGTCAAGAGAAGCCACGAGACAGTGAAAACATTCATCCCGTAGACCTCGAGCAATAGGTATAGGCCATTTCTGCATCGGTTGACAACTACCAGAATCTCCGAAAAGAGTGGGAGCAGAATATTTTCTTCCCTATCTTCAATGAAAGGGATGGCAATAATCCAACTTACACGGACCTGCATTGTGTTGAGACTGTGGAAGGCCCATTTAGCGAGTAGATGAGCAGGTATATGGACCAAAACAGTCTTTGATGAAGCCTAGCTCGGATTCAGATAAGGAAGGTCGTACATGTTTCAGCTTCCTTAAGCAAGGAACAACTCAACCATGTACTGAAACTAAAATGTATCAGTACACGCTACGTTGTTCGAATTTGCAAAATATTAGACTCAGAAAGACTTGCATTGTTTATGACGGAGGTAATGGATGTAGGTTTCACCGATTTCATAGATCTGAAATTACGTCTAGAACCGAACGTCGAGCACCGAATTAAACAAGCTACCAGATGAAGTCGATGTTCATGATCTCACGAGAAACCATTTGAAGGATCTCTTAAATAAAGTTTACTTACCAATTCTCATCTACGCGGATGAGAACAAAATCCGGAGGCCAATACAAAGGTAAAGGGATTCATTCGAGCATTAAGCAGATCACACTTTATTGAAGAGATGGACGGAAGATAGCGGCTTGAAAGTTTAAATATTCGAATGTTACTTTGAAAACATGAATAGTGGGAAAATCATGTCCTTTGTGGTCATCCTCATCAGATTATTCTCAAAGAGCAAAGTATTTTCCAACTATCTATAGATATTAATGTGAAAAGCTGTTGTACTCCAACAGATATACGTAACAAAGTGGATCATTGTGTGCAAGAGTAATTGCTTACAGTGCGCAGAACATTAGGTATTCCAGGTAAACCTGTTAAAACTTCTCCTAAAAGCTTACTTTTACGTCACATTAGACAACTCTCAACGGTTTTCAGATTGAGGTGCAGACACTATGGAAATGTCATACTTTTTCTAAATACTAAATGGCCCTACATCGAAAGATCTTGCATCTGAAACGGTTACAGTCCTAATAAAATGCTTCAGAGGGCCAGATGACAACCAAGAAGATCATTAACGTTTGTTTTCCTTTGGCTGGAAAAGAGGTGAGCTGTGTGAAATGATGATGAATCCATTTTTGTACCTGCAGTCCAACTTGATTCGCGTCTCATATATCTGTCACTAGTAAAGCAATATATTTCGTTATCGTTCCTACTATTAATATCAATTAGTATTATCCATTTTGCCTAATATCACCTCGGTTTATATGTTATTCCTACTAAATCAAGGTATATCGGTATGCAAAGCAAATAATAAAAAACCGAAATAAATTTTCACACTATAAATTGAATTACCTACATATAAATTAAAAACCAACGGAAAAACGATGCTCGAAATCAAATTGTGCGCTGAGTGACAATGTTAGAGTGATGTGTACAACATGAACCACGCAACTAAAGCAACAAATCTAGGTCTCCGACTAAATAATCAGGATCGCATACCTACCCAGGTTCCTACTCATAGTAAGACTGGCAAGCAGAACAAAAATGGGAGAGAATCGAACTCTGAACAGCCTGCTTTGCCAAATGGCAAAGATCTCTCCAGATTAGGAATGGAAGAGATTTTTAATATCGACTTCACAGACTAATTAAACCTGGAGCCAGCAAGGGCGAAACACCTCTTAAAAGTAGCGCTAGGTTAGGATCTCAAAAAACTTCTCCATATCCCTCTTTTTATCCACGCCGCTTAACCTCTCAGTTCCCCAACTCCATCTTCTTACCCATAAACAACTTGTAAAATATCTGTCATTCGTGAAACAGTCGTCTATTGGCAGTACTCAAGTCTTCACTTTACTGTTTTCAATATTGTAACCAGTCTCCAGCCTAGTAATGTGATAGCTACTGGTTATCAAAAACTCCTATGCACTGAGACAACCGAGTTCATTTGAGCTACAAAATATTCAAAACCACAAATAATTAACACACTGACTTGAACGAGTGCATTCGTGTTGCTAAAGAACTACTATTCAAACATTACCAAAACGCGGAATCGTATAGAAACATAAAGTAACAAGAGCAAAAAATCAGTCGCTTCACACAGACTCTTGACAAAGACATCGGATACCAGATACAGGAAACGGATAGAAAGGATTCAAATTCTGTACAACAGCTATTCAATATTGTAGTTTGTTATAGTGTCTCAAAAACTACACTTTGTTTACATTCCACTAATTCGATCAAAATCATCTGTTAAGCATTTCAGACGTTAGTTTGCCAGTTCTCAGTTTCGGACACAAGACTACGTAAGACAACATAGACTGAATGATACAACTTGACATTCCTCACGTTATGAGGTGGTTCTTCTTGTATTTCACTACCTTGGGATCACTTTTACCCAATCATGTATCCACCAAACGTCTACCCCTCTATTCTTACGATAATTCTATGCTTGTTCTCCTTCATCCGTTTGATCCAAAACTCCTGAAACCATTTGATGCTCTAGCTGAATATTCTCGAGTTTCAGTGTACGAGATGCTCAGGTACTTAGATCAGAAGAGGTTAAATGGTAATCCACTGTATAACAACTCTGCGTGTGTCGTCGATGTGACCTCGATTGTTTATGGAATCATTCGATCAAATAAGGAGGCAGTGAAATGTAGGCACATGTGTTTGATTTATTTGTTCCGAAGGGTTGGATGCTGCAGGCAAGATTGTCCCTGGTGTCTCTGGTGGTGGTATCAACTGGGTGGGAAGCATGGAATTGTGTCGAAATATCACAGATTTCAGCTACGGTTTATCCAAGCATGTCCAAGGAAAGTATTGTTCTGCATATGTGAAACTTCCTTCAGCAGAAGATCTTCCTGAAATAGTGGTATGTTTATCTCGTTATGTTTTCTTATATCAGTCATTCGAACTGAATTATGGAGTGTGTATCCCTCATTCTTGTACAAAGGATGATTTAGTTTGGTTACTAGACATGGGTTTGTCAATTTCTAATGATGATTGTATAGTGTTTTCCAAGGTAAATTTATCCATAGATAAGTCCACAAGTTTCTGTCATGCAGATTTTGGAGAACTACCTAAAGATGGTTGGTTTTGGGTAGCAATGTGAGTTACAAAACTGTATTTTTTCATTTCAGCCAGCAATATGCAGCAAACACCAACGCTGACTTTTCTTGGTTGATTGTTGCGACTTCTTTTTACTTATCACTGATTAATCTATCTAAATAAGTTTCTCATTATTTCCGTGCACTTTTTAAAAAACTAACACCGTCAATATTGTACTGATGGTGCTTTTTACTAGTTATTGTTCATAAATACTTGTTGCTCAAAATGTCCCTCTTCGACAATTTGGATTCTGTTATTGGACTTTTATAGGGTTCTTGAGTTATATTCAAATGACAACTTACATTAATATTCGGAAATATTTGAACCAATATGCTAACTAAGAATTATGAGAATTTTTCAATTTAGATAAGATAGAATCCGGTTAGCACAGCTAAAAGTATTTTTTTGCGATCTCACATTAAATGCTGTATATTGTACAAAAGAATCATCGCTACATACAAATATCACGCTTATAGAAGGAGAAACTAATCACTTTTATTTTTCATGAGAAAATGTCTGCAGTCGGTCACTTCAGTTCTGCATAGCTGCGTGAGCCGAAAGTTACCATTTAAAAAATTATGACAATGTTGTTGATTTATGCGACTCAAAATTTATTGTTTTCCGCCCTGTCTGCTGACACTATTTGATGTCAAATTTAACATTTGTTTACCGTTTAATTTGTTCGGTGTGTATCTAACCCACTTAATTAGAGCTTAGGTTAGGTTTTGACATTTTGCTGCAAAATAATTAATTTTTTTCTATTCTCTTTAGGTCTTTACTAGTTGTTATGATCTCTCTTCTGATAAGTGGAACAGTTGTGGATTTAGTCCTGTGGTGTAGATTAAATTATCGTATTTGTGAAGTTTCGTACGACAGACTAGTAAACATCAGTATGCCAACAGAAGCATCTACTACCAGTGGAGCTGTTGTCAATTGTGGAGGGACCACTGAGGAAAATATACTTGAACAGACGACATCTGCCCATCTTAGCATACATAAGCTATCATATTTTGAACAGCGAGCAAGTAAGAGACTTTGCCACTTTTAAAGACACTATTTGTAGTACTGAGTTTTCCAGTCATTTTTTCACTGTTAGATAAATATACTTTTTATCAAACGTTTTTCTTAATTGACCAGTTTAAAGCAGGCGAGCAGAATTTCTGCCGCCCAATTTTATGGCTATAGTGTAATATATCTTTCATTATTTTACTTAGTGTGCAAAATTTGTCAGTATTCAAAGAGTAGACTAATTCAAGTGGCGGACACACTTTTATTAAAAGCTAAAATAGACTTTTCGTGATCCGGAAAGTTAGGTTTAGAGTTTGTAACCGGGTGATACAATTCTATCTCTTGAGACCGTAAATTATCGTTTACCTAAGATTGTATCATTTTAACGGGTTCTGAAAAGAACAAGGGCCTATCTTAGTTGGTTTTTAGTTCGCTTCAAATTTATTCAATCATAATGTTTAGTCACTTAGCAAATATAGTCAGAGTTTCTAGGTTATGTTCGTACCTTGGAAAATAAGTTATTATATTTCTATTAAAAAATTGTTGCTTCGGTATTGAGGTTTAATTACTTTTAAACCATATTTTTCATCTCAAGTTATTTTTATACTAGACAAACAAGGTATATGTGTTTGGTTTGTGAAATAATTATCGTTTGTGGTTACTGTTTATGACATTTCAGTGATCTTTCAAAAAAGTTTTTCAACTATTAAATCCGTTTTACCCCTGCGGTCATAATAGATATCACATGGTACCTTGTTTGATTGCACCTCAACTATTTTATTACGAGTTTTATTTATTTTAACAGTGACATTTTACTAACTTCTTTTTCTATCTTTATTCTTTACTCAAAAGATATTTTGTCAAATATAAATCCATGTATTAAATACATTGCGACTTATTCCGTTCCTTATAACACGTGGCATCTTTGGCACTCCAAACCAAATCAAGTTCCGAATAAATCAGGTCGGCACTGCAGTCATCCGTTATTGTGCTTGGATGGGATTCGATTTTTAACCATGAATTGGATAATTTATGGACATTGTATAGCGTTCAGCATGTTTGTTGCAAGTAAGTTAATAGTCTTTCTTGTTGAGAGGATGAAATTCTACCAATATCTGTTGATCGACTAATCGTGTACGACTTCTAACTGCCAACTAATGTCATTTAGACATTTTAAATAAATTAACTCATAAAAAAATTTCCTTTCGACTCCGTTTGGCCTAAGGAATGGTTTCACTCAAAATCTACGTCTACGTTTATTTGATTCACGTAATATAACATGGACTGACCCAATTTCTCTTAGAATAAACCCTTATAGCCACAAAAGTATATGTCTGCTGCGGAATGACAAGCTGAATAATTTTGTGCAGGTTATGTTTAGTGATACTGTCAACTAATATCAAAGTCAGAATCTCCAATACGAACGTCAAGAACTACTACAGCCATTGTCAAAAGTGTACAAGTATTTATAAACATTTGGTTACACAAAATACTCAACGTTTGTTGACCGGATACCATCAGCAACAGTTTACTGTGGAAGAGAATAAACCAAGTTTCAGATGAGGAGGAAATTAGGAAAAGGCGTTGAAAGAGAACAGAACATGCATTGAGGAAATCATCAAACTGCATCACTAGACAAGCCCTAACTTGTAGTCTTGAAAGGAAACGGAAAAGAGGAAGGCTGAAGAACATACTGATTTGGAAGTTGGAAGCATAAATAAAAAGGATGAATAGCAACTAGAAAGGATTGCCCAGGACAAGGTTGGATGGAGAATGGCGGTGAGCGGTTTATGCTGCTCTACGAGGGGTAGCAGGCGTAAGTAAGTATATATGTTTAGTGGTACAGAAACACCTATAGATAGTTTTAATACATTTACTACAAGGAGTTTGTACTTCAAAATACGATCAGATAATATGCCAGTTCATATTTTCGTATTAATATCTTTAAAAGGCATTTATAGGCTTATTTGACTTTAGAGTAGTATAATATCTCTGTGCATTGATTTCACCATACCTTGATTTTTCCCTACACATCTTGAGTTTTCTGAACGATCTCTTTCAGATAACATGCTACTTTTTTCACAAATTCATCAGCCAAAATGGACCTATCAAGTAATAATTAGTGCAACACTATCTGTGGATACATTCTTCTTCATGTCGTACGTCTACCTAATCCTTTTTCGATTCATGTTTGACAGAAATGTTGTCTTTATTTCAATAACGATAATTACGATAATAAATTTACTTCACCTAAATACTCACACTGTCATTGTATGCATCATTAAGGGATGTTTACCCGCTTATCTTAATTTTTTATTTTGTCCAGCAGTATTGGGACTAAGTAAAAATTGACTTTAAAAATATTATGCATACTGTTTTCATTCGAAAGAACAGTGAGTCTCTGACATACCTGCTTGTAGCTACATATACTGAGTAGTAGACTGTTTCGCTTATGATACACCGCCACGCATTAGGTTTGCCATGACGTAAAAGTAGTCAAATCTTGAGAAAAATAAGAGTTATTTCTTCTGACATGTTGGAAGCAAGTGTAGTTACGTGTATGTGAAGTTTAAGAGTATATTATTTAATCATGATATCAAAGTGATTTTAGATCATTCACAATTAAGAGAAATTTTCCTTGTTCAATAGAGTTTTGAGAGTTAGAAAACCATGCGCTGTTTGTGCTGTAACTAGTTATAGTAAGTGTCGCTCACCCCCAATTGTGTATTCCAAATGAAGTTTTCATTGATGTGAGCCATATCATACGTTTTAACAACAGCCGAAATTGTTATTTATTGTCCAAGCATATTGCATCTTAATGGGCCATTAAGGATAAAGTTGATCTTATATCCTCTCCACCATACAAGTAGAATTTGAAAAACACACTTTCATACTTATGAGAAAAGAATGGTTACAAAGCGAATAGAGTAAACTACCTGGCGATGATTCATTCTACAAGAATTGCGTGAATACAAAAAATGCTCACTGACTTGGAGAAGAGATTACAAATATGCGATATTTTAGTATGCTACCTCCATCACTAGTCGAAATTAGTCTAACGCCAAAATAAGTGATATTTACGAGAATGTAATGACAATTCGCTATTTTAAAGATGTAATCAAACACGGGCGTTGATCATAGTAAATATGAACACTTTTGTGACCTTTAAATTGATTTCATTATCATAACCAAACCACTCTCTAGTTCTAGGTCTAACTAGTAAGCATATGATTTGGTGAATCTATGTGTTGTTATGATATTCAGTATAAGTTTAAGTCAACTCACTATATGAAATTAAAATAAATACCCAGTAACAGTCGGATCTTAATTTACATTCCGCTTTTCTGAAAGATTTCGACTGTCTCACTCAACAATAAGATCTTTCCATATTCAATTACCACATACAACCGATACCAGTTTCATATTAAATGGTTTTCTGTTAGTAAAATATGAGATAATGAGTTATTTTGACTTTTAATTTTCTGAGAAAACGTTTTTAGACTAACGGTTTTGTATTTACATTTGAATTAAAGCCTCATAAGTTTGTTCCTTAAATTATGAATACTTACAATCGTTTGGTCTGTTTGGATCAACTGACATCTTTCATCCTGATGTGTACTGAAACATTAAAATCTCAAGATGTGTGGTGATTCTCTGATAATATTTAACTGAATGTTGTGATTGGATTACACATATTCTTTGAGCATATTAGCCTATAATGCATGACTAGTATCTAGAGAGTGTATAAAAGTTATCGACACAAGACAAATTTTATTTCACACTTTTTTCTAAAAGATTACAATTACAAATAATGATCCATTAATTGAACTGCTGTGGAATAATCCTTCATTTTTCAAACTGCATTTTGTAGTAAAGACTTCACTTGATACTGCTTAAATGAGATTAAGAGTACATTTTGGTTAGATATTAAACTAACACTATTTTTGTGTTTGCCAAGCGCATACATTCAGCGGTAAATAAATTGGAAGTAAAATTGTATTGTCGTAAAAACTAGTTATAAAACTCTTGAATTAAGGGTGTGACATTTTTGTCCCTTTCTTCCATGGTTGCCTACTTGAGAGTAGCTTTGAGATTTTCAACTCGGTTTTATCTTATCGTAGTTTAAAACAGATAATTTTAGCCTTGTTTACGATATATTCCCGTGCATAACATAGTCCTATGTCGATATATTTTACCTTGTATTTAGAGGTTTATTATCTACTTATCTCACGATTCCAAAACTTCGACGAATTCCCAGTTGGAAACATTGGATAAAGTTTTGGTGGAGTTTCGTATTTCATCGTGTTTTACGGTAAGTGTAATCCGAATTGACGGTCACTCACCAATTGACTATTTCTACAGATATTCAGTGTAGTTCACGCAAGTGATAAGCATCGGTGATTTTGTTTTTCATCAATTCTGTATGAAGAATGGAAGTTGTCGAGTTGGTTTTGCGTGAACTATATTGAGAGTGTATTTTTGACTCACAAACAATTGGTTAAGTAATGCAAATGTCCAAAATGTGTTAACTTAAATCACTGTTCTTCGAAACCACTATCTCATATGATTTGTATGGAACTTACTCGAAAATCCATTTGTTTTAATCCAGTTAAACCTGTCGATGAACATACCAATGATCATCATTTGAATGAGTAAATCGGTTTCAAATATAAAGAGAACGACTATAGATTATCAAGTTTTCACTATATTTTTGTTAGGAATATTAGATTTGATGAATTTTAAAGAATCTTTTCCAGAACAATAAAACAAAGTAGGCAAAATGTTATTCACAAATGAATGACTTATCATCAACAAACTAACGCTTTGTTTAGTTATAAATTGCTCAAGGGTCACTGTAGTTTTCCAATGAAGTTTTGGAAAGTTTCGTTTATTATTGTCTACACTCTACAGATGTTCCTTGTCATTTCACACGCATGTATTCTCTACAGTGCTTGTCATTTTTGCACATATAATCTAAAGTATTGTGGGAAGTGATGAATTAAAGCCTAAAGATTGAAGTGTGTTTCACTCACATTCTTCATAATTATAAACATATGAATTTGGAAGTTGATGTGGAGAGACCTAACGCAAGATGGGATTTGTAATGAATATACCTTACCGCACAGTAGACAAGCTGTGTATTTCATGATTTCCTATGATGCTACTCTGTTTTATGCGGACGTTTCTCAACGAAAGTTTCCAAACTTGTCTAAAAAGTGTTCTATTGGCTTGACTGGATAATCTATTTGTTACTGTTTGATATTATAGGTTTATAAAATGATATCGATAATTAAAATGGATAATAGTTAAGTGCAACCGAATTGAAATAAGCATTGATGATTTGTTCACGTAGATGGTTTGAGGTGAAATAAATCATTCCATCACTTGTGTATTCAAAAACGTTTTACACAATTAACCTTAAAGCTAATTAATCCTATCAACGTGTTCTAATCCTCTGAGTGTGGATATTGATCATGAGTGTATTGAAAAGTTATCCTGCTTAGAGAAGATTAGTTTAAGCACCAAACGTAACATGTATGGTTGGATTGGAGTTGAATAATAAGTGGTACATGTAGCTGATTGTATTTTGTGTGACATTGAATAATGAAGGTATTGTGGTTAACTTCAATAATTTGTATTTCATGGAAGTCTAAACACATCGATCACACTTGGAATCAGAGAGACGTAATGCGATCTCGGCCATTGATATCTGTGCTTAGAATGAAATGTCAATTGTAATTTGAGAGGAGAAGCTCTTGAACTGAACTGAATGTTTACGAGATAATCCTTTATCTGCATTTGTATGTATATTTGTATATAGTTTTAGTTATTAAGATCCGTGACAGGAACATGTGAGCCTAGATTAAAATAAGATCAGTTCTCTGTTCTCAATATCTAGTTTTCTAAAGCGAATGGTAAGCAGGCAGTATTTAGAGTAGAACTGCGAATTCTTCTAATTTCTAAAGTGGTCAGTCAGACTTCAAAGAGTGATGGATATGTTTCGAGACAAATGGGTTCGGACTTAGGACACAGGAGAGAGTGGTCAATGACAGTTTTCGGACTCCTAGTTTTAGCAAACCAAACTTGATATGAATACTTCAGAACCAATAACTGTCATTTTATTTATTATTCATTTCGACACAAATATTGTTGCAAGAGGGCACCAAATATATATGCGCCATACAAAACTATGAGAATTTGAAGGGAAGAAAAAAAGGTAAGGAGCCTAAATAAACAGAACGATAACGAACAGATTAGTTTAAGGTAGTGTAATAATAATAATAATAATAGGGGAAACGGAAAGGTACAATCAGAAGAAATCTTCTAAGTTGAGGAAGAAGCAACCACTTTTTATGAAGAAAGTAAAAGAAGGTTACAGCAGGATCGCCACTGACTTCTATCCTGGGCCACATCTGATAACGTCTCTAGCCACTGTGTTACACCATCTCTCGGACCCCAGCCAAAGAGTCGTGAAAGACCAACACAATCCAGCCCTTTGCAGCCTTCTTTCATACCATGACACTGTCAGAGTTCATACACCATTTGAAATTGTGGCATTTATTAGCAATAGCGAATTTTGAACAGTGAAAATTCAGGTGAACATTTAGGGTGTTCGTGTTATGTGTTTGCGATTTGTATGGGGTTATTGGTAAGTTCTGCAGTTACTTGAAGTCAACAGGGTTAGTTTGATGCGTTATTGAGGTTGAAAGTTAACTTTCCATTCAACTGAGGACTGGAGATACTGCTCCTCAAGAACTTCATTTCAGCGACTCAGTTCGCGTAGTGAAGTTTTACTCTTTTGCTCGGTTTGTGTTGCTGTGTTACTGTTTTATAAACATCCTGAGAATGTATTGGGGATAGTAACTTTATCGTAACTTTGTGAATAATGATTGACATCTAGGACATTTAAATAACTACTAATTGTTTAATAATCCCCAAATATTAGGTGTTTACTTGTATCATAATCGTCTTCTTGGATTCTATTACACTGTACATAGTATTGGTTGATCAACACATATAGATAATTTATGTAACTTCATATTATTGTAAAACAGAGGTTTGTTTTTTTTCAATATTTGAAGTTCCGAGAAAGAATCCTTTTTGAAGTAATGTGTAAATAGTTTACGACTAGTGATCATCTGAATGTCTATCTATACAGTGATTCGACAATTTTAAATACAACTGAATTTCATTCATAATGAAAGGTATTGCAGAATAAATTGTAGATCGATTACTTTTTAATGCTTTAGGTATTTTTTTAAAAGAAAGTTCTGGATAAAAGTATGCGAATAAACAATTCTTATAATATATTGCCTTTGCCTATTTCATCATTCAAGTAGTTTAAATAGTACACATGTATTTTAATAGGATCATGTATCAAATCACATGAGATTTCAACGTTGAATGATTTTCATGTGAGATGAAAATTAGAATTAGATTAGAAATCCGAATGTTTGCTATTATTATTATTATCTTTATTAATAATATTCTGTAGTTCTACGTTAAAATCGTGTTTATTTACAAAAACGAGCTTAGTTCTGAATTCCATCAATTAATTCTAGTTTTCGAATTGTATTATGGCGAACGTCGTTTGCTTTGACAGATTGACAGATCTGGAAGTTAATTCAGATGATAATTTCTGACATTGTTGCATACTGTTTTTAGCTTCTTTTCGCAGTTGATACAACTTCCCTTGGAATGTTGTTTGTTATATATTAGTCTTGGCGATGTCACAGATATTCGCTGATGTATATATATATATATCATTAATTATAAAATTGTGCCGATGAAAACACATAGTATGTTAAGCCAATATTTGTTTCTTATAAATATACTGAAACTAAGCATTATTAGAAACGAAATATAGTGAGCTGTTTCACGGAACACTGATTTAAATCAGTTACATCTGTTTTACTCCTTTTTATTTTCTCACTTGCCTCTTTTTGTGTGTTACGTTATATTACTTACTAATACCCAGTAGTGTGACCTCAACCATTTTCAGAATGTGAATTTGTGGTTGTATTAATTTTAATAGTTGAACTCATGAGTCGATCTAAGCTAGACCAACATTGTCAACCTAGGAGCACTGGTCAACCGTTTCGTCCTATCATGTGATTCCTCAGCAGTGGTCACTCTCGAACACCGAACTTGAACTGAGGATCTCCGGTCTCACATGTGAACGCTTAACATCTAGACCACTGAGAAGGCATCCATCGGTGTTAATTTTTAAGGAGTTTCATACTAGGAAAAAACAGCCATCCAATGCATCCAGCTTTTAAATGGTGGTCTAGCTTAGATGGACTCATGAATTCAACTGTTTCAATCATTTTAATAATATGCAGTAGAATGCGTGCCAATTATTTGCTGTGAAAAATTACTTGTTTCAATTTATACTTTTATTTAGATACAGTAGTCAATTGACCACTTGTAACAATACTTATACCCTCTTACTCTGGATAATTTCTACATACGGTATTTTCTTACATTTTGTTTATTTCCAGTTGGCTGTCTAATTTTGGAAAATAGAATCATGTTTGTCTGTTAATTACTACTAAAACTGTCTGATGAAACTGTATTGACTAATTTAGTCTAATCCCTGTTTATTTATTCAAAGGACAAAACCTCTTCAAATAGACCGATTAAAACTTAAAGAATAATGTAATTATCCTGAATTACATCCGTTTAAAGTAGCTAATAGCTAGATTTTCTTTTTTAGACTATCAATGTATTGTGCCAGTTTAGTTTAGTAATTTTTAACCTATTATTCACTTGTAGGTATTATTACCAAGGTTTGACTTGGTAATTTCGAATAAATTAAGCATTTGGTAGATTGTTATAAATAAATAATATATTTATAATATCCCAATGAGTTGGATTAACATAGATTAATTTTGATTTGGTTATTTATTCTCTAAAGAAGTGGCTGACACTGAGTTACGAAACGTCAGAAAATCTAATCATTAGGATATTACAAATATATTATTTATCTATTATTCATTTGTTTAATTCGTTAACATGTAACTTACTTATTCTGGCTATTGATCTCTTCTCTTAGTTTAGCTATATCATATTTTTTTGTATTGTCATTATTAACTAGTTATTCATGTTACAAATAAAACAAATACATAATTCGGTGATGAATAATATTTCACAGTCAATTTAATTAATTTGTTAATTTTGCAAAATCCATAAACAATTTAAACTACTGACTAACTACTAGTTCAATTCATTTAAAATTGTTAATTGACCATTCATTTAAGACGACATGTAATTCACCCTTATTACTGTTTTTATAATGATCATTAATATTATGACTATTATTATTACTTTGTTCCTGGATTTCGTTTAACTAGTTAATATAGAACAAATGAGTTTACTTCTACAGTTTCGTTATCTTAACTGCATTGACAAAGACAGGCTCTTCACCTGTACAATTAACAACATGTATAAGTGTTGTGCAGCAACAAATTGGACAAATTAATCTTGTTTCAAGACATAACCGTAGCGTTTCTATTCAGGTGAATTTTCAACTGAAGAGTTGGATGAGATAACAATCGATTTTCTTAAAGTTGTGCATGTTTCATTTTATCGAAAACTATTATGAAATTCATTTAATTTAAAGCCTCTGAAAAAGTAGTATGTTTCGTTTGAAGTAAAATCTCTACAATAATTATTAGTATAACAAATATCTTGTATTCTTTTAAATTTCAGTTTAACTCCAGCTTATCTATTAGTCTTAATACTGTACACTGGATTATTTATTCATGCTTATGTCGGTCCAATGTATCCTCAAACTCCCAATTTGATGGATATAAAATTTTGTCGTGATCATTGGTGGATAACATATTTGAATAATTTTATTTATCCGGATGAAGCGGTAAGTGACTGACAAGCTGTTCTATGAAACCTCTGTTTCATTTATCATGGAAACATGATTCTTTCAAAGCTCATTATAGATGAACATTAAACAGAACTAAATCAAGGCGGATATTAAGTGCAGAATACTATAAATTTATTGAACTCCATCACTTTCAGTTCTTTTACATCAATCATCATCATAAACCTGTTTTGGTAATATCGCTTGATATTCTGCAAATCAAAGCTGTGTAGAAATAATTCGCTTACATTTAGTCTGTTTTGTGACTCAGTGTAAGTCACTTCTTCTGACATTATATAACTAAACCACTATTCCTCCATACTACGTTAAATCAACCCGAAGAGTTTAGATATTGAAACATAATAAGACAAAACTATTCATTACAATCAATCAGAAACATGCCTCACTATGTCAACTTAACGTCGATCCGGTCAATGTGATTTCTGTGATGCAAGTTAGTGCATTTTTTTGTGTTGATGTTTGTTTATAATGTGACATTCGTAATATGAAAGGATAAAGTGGAATTCCTGTGATAAATATGTGAAATGTACATGGATTTAGACATTGTAACTCGGATAGATAGTCCAAAACAGATGAATAGTAAGGCTCTTTTTTCTTCCAATCCATTTATGCTTTATATCTGTTTAGTGGACAATTATCACCTATATTTATTCTCTGAAGAAGTGGCTTACACTAAGTCACGAAACGTCAGAAAATCTAATTTTCTACTCATTGGGATATTACAAATATATTATTTATTTATATATTTAAGACTGTTCAATTATTTCCACCTCACTACTCTTCTCTAACCTCTTGATAAAAACGCGACTGTCTCTTGATATTTGGCATCTCGAATAAGTGTATGAAGCCATCTCTCCTATTATTCTATAGATCTATGTTTGGTCGAAATATATAACAATGTATGCTCTTTTACATCTTAAACTCCTCGGGTTAGTGTCACGTAGTATGGAAGAATACTGGAGATTGAAGCACAATAATTAGTTATTTATTGTCAGATGAAGTGACTTACCCTGAGTCACAAAACATCAGAATATTTGGTGTTTGCACTCATTGTGAAGTTATAAACATAGTACATCTTATTAGAAATCCACCCAATGCTCAGTGTATTTAAACGGTCAAGTCAACTTTTGGCAATGATACCTGTTGAATGTTTTTTGTTTATTGTTAAAATTCACTAATTCTGTACATAGTTATTCAAATAATGGTTGGAAATCTGAAAAAAGACATTTCTTCTCAGACATTAAATACACAAGTTAAAGTATTTTAGTAGTCGAATTGATGGGTCAGTCTAATCTATACCACCATTGAAAACGTGAATGCTCTATTCGATAACCTCATGATTTATTTTTGTGAAAATTATTCGTTTTTCAGTGCATGGGTTGGTCATGGTATTTATCAAATGAAATTCAATTTTCAATTGTATTATCTCCAATCTTCTTATCTTTATTAGCATGGTAAGAAAGGTGTGACAGTTTAGTTGAATAACTGTGATATTGTTGTGTAAATTATAATGAGTGAACTTGTATCAATGAAGGTGTTACTTAATATTTATTGACATTCATTTGAATTGAAAATATTTTAATAAAAGGTGGATAATTTTTGGTTGAAACATCAAAATCCCTGCAAGTAAGTATTCATGAATACTATCGTACAATTGACCTCAAGCGTCTTTTCTTAATATCCTGTTGGTTTGTCTTCTCCCAGAGTAGTTTGTTGCTGATGATATTCGATCAACGGACACTGAGTATCTTACGTAGACAGTTGTTTATAAATAAACTGTACTGTTTTGATGATAGTTGTCGAAGTTTCAGCTCCTCAAAATCGAACTATCGTGATGTTCGTATTGAAGATTCAGACTTTAATGTCGGTTGACAGTTTTTTTGAGATCCATATATTCTTTAGTTGTAGTAATGCGCCCTTGCTTTGTCAATCTATGTCTTATATCTGCATCATATCCTCCTTTTTTATCAATGCTTCTCCTATCCACACTGTAAAACTATTTCTCATAGTCAAGGAAGTTGGTGTATCGTGACGAGTTCCATTCAATTAATTGTTTGACAATGATCATGATTCATTGTTGTTATAACGTGTTAATGTTTTCCAAAATCCCCGTCGCCAATTGTTATAACTTGTGACCCGCCAATTTTTATATGTTTGGACGCGTGTATTGGAGGAGAGAGGGCAGAGAATTATCGATCAGACCAAAGGCGCGTAAAACACGTAAGAACAGCCTAGAGTTCTGATTGTCCCGACTTCCCTGTCTAGCCCAGCCAGTTGAGTCCAGAACACAAGTCTCAGCCTCGGTGATATGAATCATTATATTTCAAACATACTCTGTTTATATAGCAATCAAACAGACTACATCGTACCATAAAATAGAAAGTAACATTTGTACAAGAGTTGACCAACAGGGAAATGACACGTTGGATAAATATTGACCAATAGGGAAATGACACCAATTCTCATTCAGGAATGGAATTAGATCATTTCTGGGTATTTTCTGAATACCCCAACACCTCCCTTTTGAAGAGTTAATAGCGACGTAACCGAGAGTTTACTTGAAATTTCTTCGGTTGTCTTCGTCTGCGACCCGACCTTCGAGGTAACCACCCAGAACCAGAAGGATATTCTACTTGAGTAGATGACTTAGTTGTCTCTGTTGGAGGTTTTGGCGGAAGTTGAAAAGTATCCAACAACAAGTCGAGTGGGATGCGTTTCGTAATTGCTTCTTTCTCCTTAGCTTCTCTTAGCCTTAGCTGATTGTGGTGTCTGGTCCAGATTTCTTGGTTCACTTTGACATCATACATGACGTCCCCATGTTTCTTTGTGATCTCACCCTCTACCCATCTATCACACCCGTATCTATAATCCCGCGCATACACCTTTGTACCAACTTTGTAGGGAATTCTAGTATTCTTCATCTGGGGGCTTTGCTGAGCCACTTGCTTGGGTTTCATCGCACCACTAACTGTCCGTAGCTTCCGCCCCATATGTATCTCAGCGGGGGATTTGAAGTTTGGCAATAAGTTATGTGGGGTCGTCCGACACACCATTAGAAATCGTTGTATGATATCTTCTGTGGTCCCCTCCCCTCGTGCTTTAAGCATGGCTCGTTTAAATGTATCAACGAACCTTTCAGCTTGTCCATTAGATTGCGGGTGATATGGCGGAGAACGGACATGGTTGATTGAGTTTTGCAGGCGAAATTCTCGGAATTGACTGGATGTGAACTGTGAACCGTTGTCTGTTACTATTGTTTCTGGAAGACCATGCTGATCGAAGATCTGATTAAGGAGTTTTATGGTTGGAGTTATAGAGGGTGGCGCAATCGGCAGTATCTCCGACCACTTGGAGAAAGAATCAACTAGTATCAGATATGTGGCACCATCTATGGGTCCAATGAAGTCAATATATACTCGCGACCAGGGTTTTTCTGACTTTGGCCAGGGTACTGGAGGCAACTTAGGGGGGTTTTTCGCAGCTGTTTGACAATGTGAACATCTTTTGACAAAGTCGACAATCTGCTTGTCCATGTTCGGCCAATATGCATAGCTGCGAGCAATGGATTTCATACGGTTTATCCCTGGGTGCCCAGAGTGAAATTGAAGTAGGACCTTGAAACGTAGGGTCGTTGGAATTACTAAGCGATCACCGAACATCAGACAGTCGTTAACAACACAGAGGGCACTGCGACGATTCGCTAGTTGTTGCATATCACCACTCAGCTGCTTCACTGGCCATCCGCTCTGAACATAGATGATCGCTTCTTGAATAATCGGGTCTTCTCTGGTAGCTTCCCGAACATCTTCAGCGGTAACAGGCATTGCTCGAACGGCATTCGCTAATAGTGTAGTACCGGAATCCTCTTCCGTTGATATTGTGGCTATGAGTGTGTCCTCATCAGTGGTAGAATGGTTACTGATAAGTCTGGACAGTGCATCTGCTTGGCCGAAATCTTCGGAACGTCGATACTGGATGTCGAATTCGTACCCCAATAACGCCAACGCCCAACGTTTAAGACGATTAGCAGAATGGGCAGGAATGCCTTTCTTTGATCCAAAGATTGATAACAACAATTAGAAAATCTCTGTCTTTTTAACAAATAAGTGTTGGCTACAATATAATTTCCTTTTTTTTTATTGTTAATGTGGTTTACCTTGTCTAAGATCTGAATTTCAGTTTTCTGAAATTTATACTCAAACAATTATATTCCAATTGATTCCTGAACATTTAATTGTGTTATAAAAATATTTTTTACGTTTATGAAAAATATTTTCTGCATAGATGAGTTGAATTCAGTCAATGTTTTTGTAGACTAGGTGTTTATTCAAGTTGTTTTCAAGTTATACATTTATTATTGTTGTTTATTCTTAGCTGTCTAAATGTCTAGAGAAAATCAAGCCAGTTGTCAAATTAATTTATGTTCTCAACGTTTTAAAATCTTCAAAACTTCGTGGGAAGTCATACTGGTGAAATAAAATCTAATGTTTTTATTCTTGAATAGATTAAAGTCAGATTATTTGTGTGTTGAGTTCCTGGGCACGAACGTGGTAAAGTGAATCAAATTGTTAAGAAGCCTCATTATGTTTAAAAATTAAACGTCATTTTTGGAATAAGATTTCAAGTTTCCATCAGATAATCCACCGAAGACATGGAATCCTTCTTAAGACTTACTAACATAGAGTAAGGTTAGGTTTTAATAAGACTAAAGATGACAGAGCATTGTTTAATGAATTCGAACATTTTAAACATAAATCTAATCTGCAATACATATCGGATGTAAAAAGATCAAAAGTATACCGAAATGCCACGTATTATTTATGACTAGACTTTTTGTTTCATATACTATTTTGTCGTATTTTTACATATATAGTTTGCTTTGAATATTGTTTAGGAATGAAACTATCGGTGCATTGTTTGGTTTTGGACTTGTAATTTCCAGTATCGCGTCCACATTTGGTATATCTTATGCGAATGATTATTTACCTGGTACGCTATCACTGTAAGTTGTTGAATGTTATAACTTACTTACCAATAAGGTTTTGTAGACGTGTACAAATTGAAAATCACTGTAGTACAAATGTCTAGACGACATTATTGAGTAGGCGTCCTTATACTGACTAATAGATGAAAATATCAAATAATCACTTCCAAATACTGATAACACTATAACTATCGATCGTGACTGGAAAGTTATTTGATTTCAGCTGGATAGAGCACTGATCACGATCTTAGCAGTAACTTTACTCAAATTTTCGAGTGTACGACTTGCTTCAGTCAGTTGCAGAAATAATTCGAAAACTATTGAACTAGAAAGAATTGAAAAATATTTGTAACAATTCTTTAATTTTCTAGAACATGTGGTGAAGCTGTACACATTGATAAACTAAAAAAAAGATAGATTGAAACCTTTTTCCAAACGTGTGAGCCATTATCATTGCACGGTCGTGCAAACCGAAGTATATGTGGCAGGACACGAACGTGGGATTTTGTGTCGGGATTACGAACACCTAAACTACTACTCCATCTCTTGCTTAAATCAAGAGAATTCAATGTTTCTTTTTAAAAACGAAACGTGCAATAGAGTAGTAGACATTGTACAACGTTTGGTAGTTCGATCAATCAGTTGGAATCCTGTTTACCTGAATCTTTTATGTAAGTTATCACTCTTCAGCAAAGCATGTCTCCATTGATGAGTCGGTACTTGGCAACCTACTCAATAGAATTCTCTAAGCAGCAGAAACTAAACAAACATGAAATTGGTTGCCACTCAGTGATGAGTCAGTTCACAGCTTTGATTATTAAGGAGACGTTACTGGGAGTCAGAAATAATTTTGATTTTGTTGAAAGTTATCAGTGTCAGATGTCTGTCATGCTGTCACAACACAAAAGAATTTCTGTGATTAGTAATACTCAAAACAATTAGAGAATACACAAATTTGGTGAACGACCGATTTTGTAGTTACATGGTATTCAATCCATGTAGTACGTGATGTGTAAAAGTAATGTATATGTGTGGAGTTTTTTAGTGGTAGACCAGTGGGAGATGTCAGGTTGTATTTGATAGTTCTTAAAGTTGGAAAACAAGGTAGCTCTAACGAATACAGGTTGCAAATCAATTGACGTAAGCTACCGGTTATGATATAGTTACATTGAATACTGAAGGGGCTACTGTTGAGAAAATTAAGTAAGGGCAAAATGGACAGTCATTGTTTATTGCGAAGTCAGTGAACGAATTCTGTATGCTCACTCGGTTGCAGATAAAGGTATTGTCATTTCTAAAACAAGCAGGAATGCTTTTCTTCGAGTGAATTGGCTAGGGTATATCAACGCAACAACAAATCTACATTTCCTTCTTTAAATGTAGTCTAAGCTAAACATTCATGTATGTCTTCCGTTGAGTTTTATTGAAAATGTTTTTGAATGACCTGATAAATATCTCCTGTAAATTAACTTATCTAGTTTCTCATTCACAACTATTTACATAAAACCGTATACACGTTGGAGTACTTATGCTATTGGTCTTTTATGCGGCTGGTTCCTAGAAAAGCACATCAATATTTTGAATGTAAGTTCTTCAACTAAATGAGATTGATGGATTCAACCATTTGTAGCAATCTTTTAATTTGTGTTAGTTTATATAAATTAGCCTTTATGGTAAGGAGTGTTGTTTTTTACAGGGATATATTACTAACACTCTTTTAACTGTCTTTCGTTAAACAGTTTGTTAATTGCTAAATCTGCTTGATATAACTTCATTTTGACTGAGTTACAAATACACTACTTAACGAGAAAGATCATTAAATGTTATGGATTACACAACTTCAAGTCTTGAGAAAAATATTCAGTATTTGTGGTGTGTGGTTAATACCGTAATCAAGGGTACTTATTTTATTCTACTTAGATTTCTACTTGTATATGCATTTCACTATTGATATTTATTGCTAAACACTTTCCTGAAATATTACAAGGCTTACAACTATAGTCACTAACTAGATTTCGATTTAAGATGAACAGATATCATTACAGAGACTGATAAAATGTAGTTCTGTAAATCAACGGTGATTAATTAAAATACCTCACACATGAAATATGTAGTAATTCAAGAGGTTTTAGACTTAGCTAGCCATTGGAATTTACCACACAACCTAATGTTCTGAAAGTCATTGACTATGATTGCTGTATGATTTAGGTTTTCTTTCATTTTAAGTTATCTGCTCTGTGTAAATTTTTCATAGGAAGTTAGAGATTACGCTTACACTTTAGTGTGTATTACAGACTGACTTCAAGTAATATTAAACTTTTCATCTGTGTTCATCAAATATTCGTTCATAGTTCGAATTTAGGGTCTTTTGGCTGTTTGCCAATCAGTTATCTTCAGAACATTAAGTTTATATCCAGTATTAGGTCTTTCTAATTACAATCGATTTGTCTACTGAATTCTGTCGAAAATTTACTGGCTCAACAAATCAACACTAAAATTAAAAATTGATGTATGGACGAGAATGATAATAATTCGTTGTCTGCTTAGTCAGGCATGTAAATTGTCTGATAGGTGTCAGATGAGTTATATATTCCCTTATCCTTTTTATTATTATGACTCACTTGTTATTGATTGTTCATTGTTGTTGGATTGTGTCGGGTTTCGGTGTGGAAATATATTTACGTTGTGGTCAGGCTAATCACGTGTTCTTGATCAGAGTTGTGTTGACATCCTGTAGAATAGACACTGGGAGGGAATTTAGTGTAGATATTCGTCTAAGGTAAATTAACGTCTCATCTGTGCATACGTGTGTAAACGTGGAAATCCAACCGTTTTAACATTAGACGAAGTAAAACCGAGTGCTATAACAAAAATAATATATATATACTAACATATAACTGGATGTTTCTGTTTTAAAAGGATACTAGTTGATTATCTGTAATGTTGAAGATGACTGACAAGTAATTATATGGTAATGTTCTATTATCTGATCTTATTCAATAACATATATGACATTGGACTATTTCATTTAATCAGAAATTGAAAGAAAGTTTGTCACGTTTACTATGTTTTCATTAATTACTACAATCTATATAAATTAACAAAAGACTATAGGATTCCAGCTATTAATTAATTTCAAAATGAATGCCGTTACATTACTTTTATTGACTTGACAGTTTTATCAAATATAATTGATTAGTTATTGAACTACTTCAATAAATCATCTTGTAATTTCCTAGTGGAATATAATTCATTATGTAAGTTTACAAAAAAAATCGTTTTACAAATGCTTTCCATATTATTTCAGTAGATATTTTAATGTTATATCAATATAGACTCATTGGTATTCTTATATAGATCACACAAACACAAGTTGCCAAGTATATACCAACATGATTGTCTTTCTTATCGACCTTTCATTCTATTTTTAGAATGTGAATTCAAAAACGAAAGCTTTGATTGGTGTGATTGGTGTATGCCTGTCATCAATATTCTGTGTATCTACTGTCTACGGATTGTATGGACTACTAAGTGGGAAGGTCGGACCATTCACAACGTTTGGAGCTGCAACCTATACAGCATTCCATCGACCTATTTTTATTCTCGGTATTGCAATCGTTGTATCGATGTGTGCTCTTGGTTGTGGTGGTAAGTCAGAGTGTGAATAATGCGATATCGTTCTATATTACTCATCGTTTCTCAACTCAGCGTTTTAAAACATGGAATGTTTAGATAAAGCTTAACTATGATAACCACATCTGATTGGGAATGTCTGATGTTCTGGTCCGACAGTTGACATTATTAGCGCACTGATGACCTAATTTGTAGGAAATCATGATAAATAACATTGAGGTGATGTAATTTATATTTCGATTTAGGTGCGATCTAATCATTGTTTGAGTGTAATAAAATCAGTAAGAGCGGAATCGGTAGGTCAGATTGTAAACCTTTACTGGATGTTTTGATGTTGACACGTGTTGCAAATGTCTAGAAGAGCTGTGCTGATCAGAATAGGTGTTTTTTATTGAAGAACGTAAAAGAGAGTAAGACAAACTTTTCTGAATTATTCAATGCTAATTGGACTTGCTTTAGTACAGTATTTCGTATGCTTACTATTTTTCATATACTGTTTTTGTGATGAGCACTTTCGTGTACTCTTCTAGGAAGTAGAAAACGCGTGACTGTATGAACCAGATGAAATAATCCGATATTATTCTCACATTTCATAAATTTTGACTTTATAACAAATATACTGTGTCACATTAGTTTGAGCGAAACTGAATTCCTTTTTGTATTATTCCATGTTTACACAGGTCCAATTCGTTGGATTCTCACATTGTCTGTATTCCGTATTCCTTCACGGTTGACATATACAGCTTATCTTGTACATCCGATAGTGGTTCTATTCATCGCTTTAGGAAGTCAGAACCCAATATTGCTGGATGATCTGCATTTGGTGAGTCCTATTCTGAGTTATCAAACGTAATTGAATGTTGTGAACATGATTTAGTGAGTATTCTAAAATTCAGTCTGGTTGCTGATACATCTTTATAACATAACTGACTAGCTTGAATTTTGAACTATGACAATTTAGGGTTATCTTGAATAGTTTAGTTCGGAAGCAGAGATTTATTTGAGATACTGCAGGAAGTTGATCAGAACTTTATATCGTGATGCTGAACATCACCTTTCAATGACCAAAATCTTGCACTGATTCTCATGACACACATTTAAGTTAACAATCCACATATTTGATATTTTTATGCCAATTCTCATGGTTACTGTGATGGAGTTGATTCTCCAGTTAATTTGTCAAACAGATATTACTGGTCTCTTATGTTCTATGAAGTAATTACTTGTAACATTTCCACCTTCTGAAGTTAATTAATTATGGAGGATTGAATATAGTAGAAGTGGTGTTCGTCATAACAATTCACTAAGAATCAAACAGTGGACTGTTAAAGTAAACAACCGAACTATCTATTGTTTTCTTTGACTTAAAGTGTATTGTTGTAAAGTGTCGGTGTTGGTCACTGTGGATCGTTGTGAATCACCAACCACTCCCATATTTTCACTTGTTTCTTAATTAGATTACTTCACAAAGTACTTTCGAGTGAAACAAAATGCACCAGAATAGCCTGTGTTTTTACAGTTAACACTAAATTTACATGTGGTGTTGGTCGAGTAAAATGTAATATTTTCTCGTGTATTTTCTGTCGAATTATTATGATACTATTGTGACATAACATGATACTTGCCATCTACCTTCATAAATCCATATTGAAAGTGGTAGTTTAGGAATTGACCAATATTCAGATTGTGCTTTCTCAATCCTCGATCATTATGTCGAACAGGTTTTACAGTATTTAAATGCAAAGCAGACAGTTAAACATGTGATTTGATGTAAGTCAGATCTGTTAGTGAATTTCTCTTAAATCATAATCAGTCCATATTATTGTGGTTCTACAACCACTGAGTTTATTTGAATAATCAGAGCAGATTTTGTTGATAAACCGAAGTTGTTCAAGTGAACCATGATTATCTGTTCTCATTTAATATATTTTGGTAGTGAATAACGATAGAGTATAAAGTGATTACTGTATGTTGAAGCGTGACGACTTACGTTTTTATTCACTGGATTCTTCGTGAAAATCTCACGATTATATCGTTGAATGTGTTAACTAAATTCTTCTCCTGTTCCATCTACAAATGTTCAGACACTTTTCAAACTTTGAAGACTGTTGTAATAAGGTAGATAAACAAAAATATATTGAACACACGACCTTTTTAAGAGTGATTTTTGTGTTAGCTCCGTAACTATTGAGACCTTAACGCCAGAGACGGATATCCGTGGGATAAAGCGAGGTGTGCATTTTTAAGGTCGACCTTTTCCAACATTGCTGTTATGCTGATTGTCTGAAGGAAACACCTTACTGCTGTCACACCTCTGTACAGTCGGCAGAACGACTTTACCTTCGGACCTTGAATTTGTTGCTTTTAGTCTTACCGCTCTTCAACCGACCTGTCTGGAATGGTAGGACCTCGAGGAACGGTGGTTCCAGCCAGTATAGCTTGATTGTTTCATCACGATAAGCAAGTCTGACCACCACGTTAAGGTAGCAACAACGGTCGGGACATACATACATTCAAACAATCAATACAAACATGAATATATATATATGTTAATACGGTTGGTTTAGTACAAATACAATTGACTGTTTCAATCTCTCTCCTTCCAGATCGTTATGTTTTTTGCCGTTCTACCAATTACTTATTGCTTGGCATACTTGGTCACACTGGCAACTGAGTCACCAGTAATAGCTATGACTCATAGTCCTGGAGGGAAGAAGCCTTTGTCATCAGAAAGTTCCATGTAAATGAGTAAAATCTAGTTCAATCAGGTTTCACTCCTTGTCTTTCTCGAAGTTATCAGTTTGTGTATACTCATGTAAAGCTATGGAGTTTTACTTAGAATATTTTTCTATTACTATTTTCCATTTTTTATAGTCAAACTAGTACCATATTCGTGAAGAATTTTGAATAAGATGATAAGTCCGTTCTGTGATATAATCTAGTCATTTTTGAATTTACCCTTGTAATTTAACAATATGAAACTCCATTCAATCCCTATTGCTTTTTTATTTCCATTCTTGTTGAATTCAGTATTTGAATTCTTGTGATTGTGTGATTTTGTTTGAATAAACAGATTAACATGTCAGATTATTCAAACTATGGTATGATTGAGTTCATGTTTAGATGAAATGTAGAACTTCATTTACTGACCATAATTCTAATCTGTATTTGATGAGTGTATAATAATAATATATCAATGACATTATAAACAATTAAATGATTTCAATATTTACAGAGATATTTGTGATTCTTCAAATTGGATTTCAGTTGTCTTAATAGACCTTCTTTAGTTGTATATTTGAACATTTGTGATGTAATAGTTCTGTTAGATTATGTTTAAATTATTTATTGTTAGATATCTTTGAAATTACAATACAAATATGATTTACTTAAAATCTGCGTAATTTGTATTTGATAAATGCAAATGATAAAAATGCAAATAACTTTAAACTGACTATACTTTAGATTTCCTATGCTCATCGTCCCAAGAATTGAGGTGAATCTTTTCCACATATCAGTGCGACGAATTGTGGAGATTATAGTATTTTCACAGTTGAAATCGCGAACTGATGTAAGCTACGCCACCAGTGAAAACGTGCATATGAAAGCCAATAATTTGTATGATGACGAACACTATTGCTTCTTCCAATTCATGTTGTTTCTAGTATAGTTTGTGTCACTGGAAGCCCTTAATGATACATCAAGAAACTTCGAACAGGCGGAATTTGTCATTTGTGATTCTCAGTTCCATCGGAATCGGAAACTGTGCTTTAAGCGTGTATGCTTTAGAATTGGTCGTACAGCTTCCAGAAGAAATCTCATTCATTCCCAAAGAAGATGGATATTGGACTTCATTCTGTGGAAACCATAGCCATGAAAGCAATGCGTTGTCTTGTCATAATAGTTAATTAGTGTGGAAGCCAACGTAATAGGAGTTCGAATCACTTAGGCCTCTACTAATTCCAGGCACTGCTACATTTAACGTGTTGTATTAGGTATACACCTCATTTTGTAAGCGTCTATGTTTACAGCATGTGTTTAATTCATGAAGCATTTTCTCAAGCAAACGTACCAGATAAACAATGTCATCATGTAAATAAATAAAATGAAGGAAATTATGAAAAACCTTGGACTCATATATTTTCGCTCAGAGCAAGCTCTGGGCATAAACCAGATAAAGGTAGCGAGTTGCAATATTTATTCACAATAAGGTTTCAAAGTAACCTGATGAATTGTTAACTTGATATTTTCTGTTTACAACAAACAACGGATGCTTATTTCTTCAAATTGTTGCACTCGCCATGAAGTTCATGGCAATACCGATTTGTTTAGCCTTTCCCATTTAAAAGATTTTTGTTAGTTAGTTCCCGTGTATCTCCAAACGAACAATAGACAACAGAAGTCTTGTAGGGGTTGTGACAGGAGTATGTTATTTTAATAAATTCGAAATAACTAAGTGACATGAACAACAACTTAAATGAAGATGCTCAATACTATGGAATATATGACGAGTCCTAACAGAATAGTAACGGAACATGATATTCACCCAAAACGGTAAATTTCTATATCACTGCAAAATGATATTATTTGTGCTATTTTTATGAAGTCAGTATACTGAATTTTCTCTCCGAGACGCATAGGGGCCAGTCAAGATCTGATTTCTAGATCTGAATAAATGTTTGGTATTGTAATATCTGTAATTACAAAAATATATCATTCATTTTTTGTATTCAGTTTACTGTGTTCTGTCTACGAACAGAATGGAGATGGTGTATAGTTAGCGGTAGTTAAAAATAATTATATTGTAGGTTATTTAGTGAAACTGTTTAATAATTCACCTAGTGATAATAAAAGGAAATGAAGTGTTTACATACGTAACAGCTAATAAATATGCATCGTAATATGGTTTAGTATCTTAGTAGACAATTTGACATATGAAAGAATAATGTGTGTACGATTGTTATTAATAAACAAAAGAAATTTAAATAAATGAAAAGGTTCATTTGTCATTGAAGAAGAGTGTAGGCAATTCAGTAAAGAAAAGTTTCTGTGCGATCGTACTTATGGTTAATTTTATATGCAAAACTAGTAATCTACAGCTAAATAGAATGGTGTTGGATAACGTTTTCATAATTCTCTCTTATTACAACCCAGCTATTCCTATTGCTTTGTATTCTCGGACATCAATTCACTCGACAAGTCTCCAAACCAGAACACGGTTGAACAGAAAAGAGATTATATTCCAAATAACAAGGTCCGATGAAAGTAAGAAGCACAACAGGAAAAACGTTAGTATATTTATAGTTTTTACATGAGATTTCTAGAGTGTTCTTCAAGCACCGACTAGCGCTGATTGGATAAGAATCAACCAATCAGGGTGCACCAAAACAATCGTGCATTGAGCATGCCTTAATCCAATCTACGTTCCGCTAACAAACGTAAAACACTTGAAGTGGTATCTCGTCATGAATCGTTTACGAAAATCAGATATTGAAACGTATTGTAACAATGGTATCTATGTGGCTGTATTGTGCTAATTAAATTATGATATTTAGTACATGTACGTTAAAACCCATTTTGAAAACCTTTATGGACAAACGACAGAACTAGTAAATTCATCATAAGATGATATCGAAAGATTTATATCAACACTAGTGGTCTATTGTTCTAGATACCCAAATAATGGATTTAATTCGATAGAGGTTTCGACAAAGACAACATAAAGATGCTTTAACAAAATTTAAAACTGATAACTGTTTTTTAATTATGAAACCAGACAAAGGTAACGGTTTATTACTCATAGATAAAAACTACTATTTAAACAGGATAATAACCCTTTTAAATTTCAAAAATTGGTAGTAAAGAATGATACGGAAGACCTAATTGAAAAACAAATAATAGACTCATTGAAACAGATCAGACAACAAGGTTTTATTTCGGAGAAAGTGTTCGAAATGTTGAAACCTACGGGAACAATAACACAAAGGCAATATGATCTGCCAAAAATACAAAAAAGTAGCTTGCCCTCTTGTTTCATGTTAGATATGAACAAATTTAGGTTATCATAATATGGTTAGTGCAGATTACCAAACATTTGAACGAAAAAATTGTGAAGGATAATGTCAAGGACTCTTATGAATTTTTAGATAATATAAAAAAGTTGTCGGTCAAAAATAACATCATGATATCACTAAATGTAACATTCCCCTACTGAAAATTGGGTTTCATTTCCAGTGGACTAAAAGGGAATGGTAATGAAACCCTAATTCCTGTATCCGCAATAAACCAGTTAATTGTTAGATAAATGATAAATGTCCACTTCAGATTCAACACTGATTACCGTAGTCAATTGTACGGCATAGTCATTCGGCACTTTCCAGCCTTGAAAAATCTCAAATGGACTATAAACAACATTAAGCTATCATTAACTTTTACAAGACAATTTATGACACGTTTCAAATAAATTATGCAATAGATAGAGAGTCACAAATAAATTTAATGACGGTTTTTATTAATGTCGAATCTTCACATGAAACAATCTCAATTGATGATAATCACACAACGCTGAACTTTTAAGTCAACAGTATAATGACAATAATAATGAACAGTCAGTCAGCTGCAACGTAGGACCAGGCACATATATGCATCGGTCCAAGTTGCCATACCGCATTAGCACAACAAGATGAACACCAGATTTATAGAAGTAGTTAATTTAATGGTGGTAATATATTAAATAAAGATTGCACATAAGGATATAGTACAGGAATAAAGAATTAGTTCGTAGAAAAAAAGATATGAAGCGATTGTAATCTCATAGTTTAAAAGAAGACAGAGAGTGTATATACCTACGCCATTGTGATCGATTCTGAGCCATGTCACCAAGAATCTCCTACCATTGATTACGATAGTCACGTGGACCCCAACCAGGTAGTCTGCATCTACCAACATGGCTTAGACTGGGAGTTAGTGACAATAATAATGATACTTTCAAATGTACTTGACATTTCGCTTACAGATGAGTAATATCCAGATAACTCTTTTTTCAATTCTACTTAAAAGAAGTAACTACTGGAACTAATCTATCTCAATGGTGATACTTGTGATAATGATTGTTTGTAACACTATATGATGAATTCGCTGAAATCTAAAGCAAAAAAAAAAACGTAGCATTAATTCAATGGTCTTAAGTGTAATAAGCCTGATGTGAAACGTCTTTTGATCAAGAATTATCCTAGAGCTTTGAACTATATATCATCATTCCGAATGTTACTTAGTTTTTAATCATTTACAACCTGAAGTCAATCTATTATGTAAGTTGATTCGAATTATTAGACTTTTGTTTTAAATGAAATGATTTCATAATTTGAATAATATCTACAATGTTTCAACTTGGAATTATAGAGGTATATTGTTTTCTAGTGTGTAACAACATGTTGGTAAAATCTGAGTACATTACCGTAATCTATAAATATGTATCTGAGCCGATGCTGTAAGCCGGGTACACACTCTCTGAATCATGTATTCGTAATCAAGAGTAGCTTACTCATTTCTGATAACTAATAAAACTTTTGCCTAAATAAGTGCATTTAATCAAATCAATGCAGAAATTTCTGACATTACAGAATTTAATTATTTAAAGCTCGAACAATTCACCTCTATTTATCTACTAAATTTTATCAACAACCTCTAATACCTTACTTCTTATGTGGTTTACATCAAGTGACCGTACATCTTCCATGGATTC